GGGAAGGCCGAGGGGCCGCCTGGTGGGAGAGGCGGCAGGGCAGGACCTCGGGGTTCAGCAGGCAGCCCAGGCGGGCCAAGCGCCGCACCCAGCTCTCCAGCACCTTCTCGCTCAGCGGCCGCCTGGACCTCTCCGATGCCAACAGCCCCCCGCACAGCCCGGACAGGACGTGCCTGAGGCCAGGCCTCGGGCCCCAGTGCCCTCAGCCTCCCAGGAGTCGACTCAGGAGGCCGGCGTTCAGAGCGTCCCCTCGGAGCGGCGGCAGAGCCTCCGGAGCTACGCCACCGAGCCGTCACTCCAGGAGGCCGCCACGCCCCCCTCCCAGGCCTCCAGTGTCCGGGCCGCCCCCTCCCGGCAGCGCACTCCTGCCCTCGCTGGCTCCCAGCCCCAGCGCAAGAGGCCTCGCATGGGCTTCTGAGGGCACGGCGAGGCTGGGGCCTCCAGAGCCCTGGTCCTCACGGCAGGGCCGGCGGGGCCTTAAACAGGAGGGCCCAGCGCGGCTTGGAGCGGGGAAATGGCGCCTTGGGTGTCCTCCCGTTAGCCTGCAGGTAACTGCAGAAGGCCAGTTGGGAGGACTCCCTCCAGGAGGTGGTTCGAGAAAGCGGGGCTCCCTGTCGTTGGGGGTGCATGGGCCAGCAGCGCCAGCCCCTCAGCGTGTTCAGGAGTGGGGAGACCCCTCAGCTGCACGTGCCTGGCAGCACCGCAGTGGGGGTGAGCGGCGCTGGGGGTGTGTCCCCAGCCCCCCAGGTGACCTGTCGCTTTGCTCGGGCGGTGCTGGCTGATGGTTCAGGGACCGATAAAATGAGGTACTTCTTCCTTAGACCGGGCTTCTGGCATCGGGTGTGGGAGGCCTCGCGTCCGAGCTGCTCCCGCGCTGTGCAGGACTCTGCTCTCCCACGGGCAGCCCTGCAGGCCGCAGGCCCTGTCGTAGGCTGGAACGCACAGGTTCAGAGGGCAGCTGACGAGACCAGTTGTGTGTAAGCGTTAGTAACAGACTGACTCGGGTGGATGTGAAGGTGTTTATGTGCAAGGAGGCATGGACAGGCACACAGCGCAGTGGGCGGACGGACGCTCTGAGCACACGCTTCACGGCGCGGCCCCGCAGCCAGGGCTGAGGGAGCCGAGGGGGCGAGCGGGGGACCCCAGCGATGCTCTGGGGAGGGAGAGCTGGGGGGAGGGCTTGACACGGAGCCGTTCAGTCCAAGCCGAATTCGATGTCCTCCTGGCCTGCCCCCACCCTCAACTTGGGCTCTGTTTCAGACCGTGGTTCCTTCTTTTCCATTGTGTTCCCTAAAGAGTTCAGAGAGAATGCCTGTGGGTGTTCTTGCCAAGCGGCCAGCCCCCAGCTGGTCCCGCGTGCAGGTCTGGAGTGCCAGGTGTCTCAGGAAAACACCCCTGTGTGAGGTCGACATTGCCACCGCAGCCTGCACGCCCATCCAGCGGCAGCTGACCAAGGCACAGCCCAGCCCGCTTGCTGCCACTCCCCAGCAACTGTCCCCCAGCCCCAGAGTGAGGGTAGCAGTGTGTGCCACCCCTCAGGTCTCTGCACACTCCCTGTGTGGGACGTCAGACTGTGTCACCCCGTCCCAGGGGTCTGGAGAGCAGCCATGCCCCTGTGCCAGCTGCCACCCCAGGTGTGTCCCCCACTGCCAGCCACAGCATCTGGTCCCCTTGCTCCCTCAGAGCCAGGTCTGGGGGGGAGGGCGGGCAGAAAAGCTTCCCCAGCCCCGCGGAGCCCAGGACGGCTGAGTCCCTGTGACTGCAGGGGCTGCCCGCCCACCCTGGTGGCTGCTTGGCCCCAGGGGTGGCCTCAGACGCCTGGACTGGGGAAGGTGATCTGGAGTCTCAGGCCACTTGGTCACCGGTGACCCCCAGAACACGGATTCTGGGAGCAAAGGTCTAGAAGGCCATCCCTGCCTGCCTCCCAGGTGGGGCGGCATCACCTGAGGGAGAGGCCATGCAGGGGGTGCTGTCCCCGCCCTCCCTGCAGGGAGGGGGTGTGGCATCTCCGCTGCTGGCGGGGGTTGGCCAGGGGCTGTTTGGCAGCTCCTCAATCAGCGGTCGCGCCGGCTTGGCGACTGCAGTTCGGACACCCGGGTCCTTTGCTTGTATCCTGAGCGTGTCTGTGAACGGCGTCTCGGCCTTCTCGGAGACGGCCTTGGAGACTGCAAAGATGCTGGAGAGGGTGTCTGTGGGCGGGCGCTCCAGCTCCGGGTCACTGTCCTCGCTCAGGCTGGAGATGGCCTGGACCCTCGGGACGCACGTTCCCTGTCGGACAGGACGGCAGTGTTGGAACCTTGTCAGTACGGTGGCTCTAGGTGTGTTACGCCAGTTATGCTTTCCATTGTCACCTGCAAGGAAGGCCCAGGGGACCACAGGACTTGGCCCTTTGGGAGTCTGGCCTCAGCATGGCCAGGCCCAGCTGCATTTTCACAGAGCCCTGCGGCCAGGGTCTGTGCACCTCTCCACCCTTCCTGGGCCTCCGTGCCGCGCTCCCCCTGCCTACTCTTCTGCCTCCAGGGTCCCTGAGCTGGGCCTGTGCCGCCACACCTCTTAACCCAGCTTTGTTCAGCTCCGGGCCTGGGGGTGGGGAGCTGATACAAAGATGACCCCTTGCATGCCCTCTCCCTTGGGCAGGATGTGGCACCGTGGGCTCTGGGGGTGCCGTGGGGAGGAGCCCCCAGCTCCGTCTGCCTCTTCCCTCTACAGCTCTGTGCAGACACTGGTGAGATGCACGCAGACCCAGCGTGTCGGGTGGCTGCGTCCAGGGCCCAGTCCTGTAGCTCAGCCAGAACCCCCAAGTGGGAGAACGAGCGAGACGAGCCGCTGCGCTTCCCCCTGTCGGGAGCCCTGCTCTCCCACCAGGAGCAAGTTACTCCGAGGGCCGGGGTGCGCGAGAGGTCCTGACCAGTTCATGGGAAACGTGCTGTAGGAAAAAACTGCACTTCAACATGAGCGAACATCCCGGAATTCACTTCCCACGGAGTGGCGGACCCCTCGGGCCTTGTAAATGACAAGAACTCAAGTGAGAGTCAGGGTGGAGGGGCCGGGTGCACGGATAACCTTACCTGGCCTTCCAGAGAGTCTCCTGGGTCGTCGGTGTCTTCCAAATCAGGGAGGTCCTGAAAGAGCCGCGTGCCACGGAGAGCGGCGTGTCAGCGAGCCACAGTGCGCACGGACACGCAGCCCCATTGGGAGGAGCAGAAATACAAACATGATAACCAAAGGTTTTGTTAACAGAGCAAGGGGCCCTCTCCCCCGCCCCGGCAGCAAGCACTGGCGGCAAGTGTGTGTCAGCGTCGAGCGACAGCGAGAATCTGTGAGGTGTGCCATGGCCGAGGGAGTCCCACGTCCATGCTACACTTCATGGCCACTTCACCACGGGGCCACAAGGCACCCAAGCTGGAGGCACCTGGGCAAAGGTGACCTGGGACTCGGGGCGGTGTAGTCATCTATTCTGTAGCCCACTCCTCCCCCCCCGCCCCGGACTGGTACGACTGCTTAGGTTTCGTGGTTTGGTGTCTTCAGCCGTAGCAATGAACTGGCGCGGGAGGCGGCATGGTGTGGGGTCAGATGCCTGCACCCTGGAGCCGCGCTCCACCGCTTCCCAGCTGTGTGGCTTTGGGCAAGTGACAGCCTCCGCCTCGCGAGTGCCTGGTCTGTAAAGCTGGGACAGACAGAGCACAGACAACTCAGTGGTCCCCACCAACGGTGCTGAGAACTGGGCCACGCGTGCCACGTGGGCTCGGCAGACGCCGGCAGTTGGTGCCCCAGTCCTGCAGTCGGTGTTCAGACGGCAGAGATGAGCTGCCTGAGCTTTGTATCCGCAGGATCAGAAAACCGGAAACACGCCTTGGCCCTGACCGTGACCCTTGACTCGCGGCGAGCCAGGGGACGTTTTGAAAACGTGGGCATCAGGATCGAGGTGGAGGTGTGGCAAGGGAGGGGGCTGTGCCAGGCTGAGCTGCGTGAGCAGGGGAGCCCGTGGGGTGGGTGGGGACCGTCATACAGCACGTGGATGCGCGCCGTCTGTAACGTGTGCTAGCCAGCCACGCGTGCTGCACCTGTGGGTGGTGATGACAGGTAACTGGACAGAATCGCTCTGAGTCGTGGTTTCCCCCAAGGAAACCAATCAGGAGTTTGGCCAGTGGAGTGCGAGGGGCGCCACCTGCCGGCGTTTGCAGCCGGCTTCCGGCTGCAACACTGGGTGAATGAGTGCCCGCCTGTGTTGCCGGCTGTGAACCTGAGGCTTGTCCCCGCCACCTCCCCACGTACAGCGATGAGGAGCGTCTCCTCTGTGTCCGCTTCTGGGGTTCCTGCGTCTTCCGTTCCAGCCGCGCCCACTTCTGGAGCCGCCTGCTGGGGAGCCAACCCTGGGGAACAAGACACGAGCCACTTGGAGCTGGCTTTCTACTCAGTGCTCGGACCGACGAGCCCAGGGGCGGAGGCAGGCCAGCCCTCGTCACGGCAGCCGCTGGAGCTGTGGGTTCTGTCTGCTTGGAAAAACAAAGCTGCCCTCCCACCCCCGTAGTCTGGAGGGCAATCCAGTGAGAACGGACCAGCCGGGAGTCGGCGCAGGAGCAGACGGGACAGCTGGCCGGCCGGAAGATGGGGATGTGCTGATGACCAGGGCCAGCGCAGCTCCCCAGCCCCGGCCAGCGACAGCCCCTCCTGCTGCATGAGGGTCAGGGACTCGCCAACCCCAGCGGCATAGCGGGGGCCCTTCATCCTCCAGGCCTGGCTGGCTGGGCTGTGCTCCTGGGAGGAGAGCGCCCTGCCTCTGGCAGCCCCAGGTAGACCGCGCCCTCCTGAGCCCCAGGGGCGCCCGCAGGATCGCCATCCGTGGGGCCTGGCTCAGTAGAAACTCCCTGCGGGAAGCTAAGGCATGACGCGGCCCCCACAGGCCTGGCCATCTCGGCCTGCAGAGTGGTGTGCCACGCTTCTGCTCCTGTGTCTCACAAAGAAACCAGTCGTGTGCCAGCCCCAGCCCCCGTCCCCTGTGCGCGTCAGAAGCTGTGACCCCTTAGCACCACCAACAACCCACAAGGGAACTGGTTCAAGGCCCGGCTGCTCCGCTTCCAGCCCAGCTCCCTGCTCACATGACTGGGAAAGCAGCGGAGGACGGCCCGAGTGCTTGGGCCCCTGCAGCCACGTGGGAGACCTGGAGGAAGCTCCTGGCTCTCTCCCTCTGGCTCTTCTCTCTGTAGCTCTACTTTTCAAATAAGTCAGTCAAATAAATAAATCAGTCTTTTCAAAAAAAAAAAAACAAAAAAACAAACAAAAAAAAAAAAAAAAAAAACAAGCCGCTCGCGGCCCCTGACCAGGGTGAGCGGGCGTGACTGCGACTCACTCCGGCACTGCCTCTGCGCCCGGTCCCTGCCCCTGGGAGAAGCCCGCACTGCCGCGTGCTGCTGCGGGGCAGGCCTGGCCATCCGTGCTCAGCTCCAGAGCCCACAGCGCTCAGGCCGGGCCTACTGAGACCCTCCAGAACTACGGAAATTGGGAGGAGGCACTGACTCCAAATGAGCAGAGAGCGCTGGCGTGAACGTGGGGACGGCCTGCTCTGTCCTGGGCCTGGCGCTGGGGCGTGGCCGGCTCCCCAGCAGCCTGCACCGACTTCCGGCTGGCCCGGAGCAGCCAACCCCTCCCCCCAACAGACTGCAGCTCCGGCTCAGGAGGGGGCCCTTCGGGAATGTTCTTGGGTGCACCACACAACTGCACTGCCTCTAACTACCTCTCAAAATTAATAAATTTTTTTAAAAAGTTCACGGAACATGTGCGTTACGGAAAGCGATGCACAGGTTTCAAATTTTCTGCACCTGCCCCAGGACGCCTGCTGTGCAGCGCTGTCCCAGACCACGGGCGGGCGAGCCGTGTGTCCCACCAACCAGAAGCAGCAGCAGGAGGGTGAGCCTGCGACCCGAGTCTGGCACAGGCGCCCCTCAGAGGCTGTGGCCCCTGCGTGTGCGTGCGCCTCAGCTCGCATTACCTTCCTGGGCATCCCTGGGGGCCAGCGGGCTCGGGGGCCCAGCCGGGAGGTCCTCGCCTGGCTGCGGGTGGTCTGTGGTCCCGGCAGCCTCTGCGGGCAGCTCCTCCTCTCCACGTGGCCCTTCCGGGAACAGCTCATCCTTGGCCGCGAAGCTTTGCTCCACGAACAACTCCATCTTGCTGGGTGTTTCTCTGTCCTGGGGTGGCGCCTCCTCTCCCTCGGCGCTGGTGCTGGCGGAGTCGGCCGCCGGCGGCGTCTCCCCTGCGAGAGGCGAGTGCACGAGTGCGCCACGCTACGCTTCGCAGTTCACACCACACTACAGTCCGTGCAGGCCTGGGTGGTGCAATGCTGGCACTCAGACGGTGGACACGGCGCCCACCTTCCATGGTTGGGTGCTGGGCCTGGCTGGGTGCTGGGCCTGGCGGGAGGCCCTCAGGCCGCTGGGGCTTCCTGGGGAGGAAGGGCGAGCTCTCCGGGCCCTTTGCTCCCCGGCTCGCCCGGGCCGGTTCCTCTGCGCCCGCTCCACCTCCCCCACCCTCTGGCCTCACCACGGGGCTCATCCGTGGGGCCTGCCTGATGCCGGGCTGCCAACCGCCGAAACCAAGAGGCGAAATAAACCGCTCTCCCTCCCGCGGAGCCGCTCCGGGGTCTGCCGGCGCCCACCTCGCTCCTGACTTTCTCTCTGCCTCTTCCTCTCCTCCGCACGCCGCTTGATCATGGCCAAGGCTTCCACGCTGTCTGTGATCTTCTTCCGCTCCCTGCTCTCCCACCGCTGCCTCTCCTCCTTCTCTGCCGCGTACCCTCCGGTGGCCCAGGCCTCTGCACAAGCTCTGTGAAGGCAGGAACAAAGAAACTGGAGGAACAGAGAGGGCTGCACTGCAGGGCTGCGGGTAAACGCACACAGGCCTGCTCCAGCTGCCCGAGCGCGTGCATCTGCCTCAGATCAAAACACAAGGCACGGGAGGTTCCTTCAGCCCTCGGCTACAGGACCAGAGTCAGCACACGTACGTGTTTAAAAAGGATTGATTTCTTTATTTGAAAGGCAGAGCGACGGCGGGAAAGACAGAGCCATCTTCCACCTGCTGGTTCACTCCCCAAATGGCTGCAACAGCCGAGTCTGGGCCATGCGGAAGCCCGGAACCAGGAGCTCCACCCGGGTCTCCCACATGGGTGCAGGGACCCAGAGGCTTGGGCCATCTTCTGCTGCTTTCCCAGGAGCGTCAGCAGGGAGCTGGATCAGAAGTGGAGCAGCCAGGGGTCAGCGCTGTGGTGTAGCGGGTAAAGCAGCTGCCTCTAGTGCCAACATCCCATATGGGCGCTGGTTCGAGTCCCGGCTGCTCCACTTCCCATCCAGCTCTCTGCTATGGCCTGGGAAAGCAGTGGAGGATGGCCCAAGTGCTTGGGCCCCTGCACCCGCATTGGAGACCCAGAAGAAGCTCCTGGCGCAGCTCTAGCCATTGCAGCCATGTGGGGAGTGAATCAGTGGATGGAAGACCTCTCTCTCTCTCTCTCCGCCACTCCTTCTCTCTGTGTAACTCGGACTTTCAAATAAACAAATAAATCTTAAAAAAAAAAAAAAAATAGAGCAGCCGGCCGGGACTCGAACCGGCGCTCCAGTATGCAACGCTGGCATGGCTGGCAGTGCCTTAACCTGCCGCAGCAGGAGCCCTGGCCCCACAGGAGCACGGCCGAGCGTGCACCGTCCAAGGGCCGCAAAGCCTTCTCAGGCGTGGCCCCACAAGCTCGACTGACAAGAGGAGAAACAGAGAAACTGGACTCCTCCGAAATTAAAGACTTCCGTAATGCAAAAGACACCAGTGATAAAGCAACAAGCCACCAAATATGAGAAGATATTTGCAACTCACTTATCTCATGAGGCCTAGAAAATATTAACAACTCTTACAACTCATTAATGAAAACCCCTGGGGGTGAGCGTTGGTACACGGCAGTACTGGTTCAAGTCCCAGCTCCTCGGCTTCCGATCCAGCCTCCTGACAATGCGCCGAGGAAGGCAGCGAATGCTGCCCGAGTGCTACCACATCAGAGAGCCAGGTAAGTTCCTGGCTCCTGGCTCCTGGCTTCAGCCTGGCCCAGCCCTTCCTGTTGCAGGCATTCGAGAAGTGAACCAGGGAATGAAGACTGAACTCTCTCTCTCTCTCTCTCTGCCTTCCAAATAAATAAAAAGAATCTAAAATGAGAAATAAAAAGAATCTAAAATGAGAAGTAAAAAGCCTACACAAGTTAAAATGGGCAAAGATTAAGTGAAAAGACAGCGCACACGCTGGGAGAAAATATTTGCAAGACAGACAGCTGACAACGGGCTCCTAACTGAAACACACAAAGAAGGAGGACAGCCAGGAAACAAAGCAATCCAACGGAAACAAGAACAGATCTGGACCCCGCTCTGAGGCAGACGCCCTCACCAGGCGGCACGGGGAGCTGCAAGCGACGATGACCGGTAACAGCAGCCACTGGCAGGGCTGAGACCCCAGCACCGGCAAAGCCACGCGCTGACCGGGAATGGGAGCCACAGGGACGGCAGCGCGGCACAGGCCCTCACCACACCGTCCGGCGACTGTGCGCCTCCGTGTGCACCCGGGCAAGTTGAGGGCTTGGGTTGGCACGAGAGCCCGCACACGTGTGGTGGCTGCACTTTTGTTCCGACTGGAGACGCTTAGAAGGGACTGGGGTGTCCTCGGGCAGGTGAACAGACTGCCAAATGCAGGCGGTGGGACGTCGCCCAGCAGTGAGAAGGAACGCGTCACCAAGCCACACGGCTGCATGCGCTCCAACCAAACAAAGGCCTGCTGGAAGCAGTGAGACGGAGGGAGGCAGCGGCTGCCGGGGCTCAGGCAGCAGGCAGGGAGTGGGCGCAGCGAAGCCCCCGGGTGTGGCTCTGCGACGGTGGGCGCCTGACAGGAGGCACTTGTCCAAGCCCAGGGAGCCCCGAAGCCAGCGGAGGGCTTTAGTTCACAAGAGCGCACCCTGGTGGTGGGAAGCAGAGGGGTCACCCAGGCCCTTTTGGGGTGCGTCCTGCTCCCCCCAAGAGAGGGAAGTGAGCAAAGCATGCAATGGGCATTTCTCCAAGGAAGACGAACCGGCTGCCTACGAGAACACGGACGGCTGCTTAGACTCCTAGGCGCCAGGAAAACGGAAATCAAAGCCAGGAGACGCCACTCAGACACACACCCTCCCAAGGATGGCCACAATAAAAACACAGCGGCCAGTGTAGACGAGGACGTGGACAAGCCTGGCCCCGCACACACCACCGGGCACGGCTGCTCTGGACAATTTGGTGGCTCCCCGGAAGTTAAAAAGCGGGGCTATCAAGCAACTCCAAGATTCGCACCTGCGAGAACAAAATGTCCACACGAAGGAACACAAAGGAGCCCACACCCAGATGCTCACAGCAGCACCACTCACAGAGCCAAACGCGGACACGACCCCACGTCTCCCACAGGGGCTGCACGCTCCAGAGGCGGCTAACAGACCGGAACGAGGCACTGGAGCCCGCTGCATGGGGCAACCTGGAGGACACGGGGCTGGCGAAAGAAGCCACGCCCACAGAGCCCCGGGCTCCGCGGCCCCGTGCAGGCTGCCCCCGGGGACGGCGAGGGGCTGCTAACGGCGACAGTTCCCTTTCACGATGCTGAAGATTATCGAGGGCCGCCTGTGGCGACAGCCGCGCAACGCCGTGACTACGTGGAAGGCCAAGGGTGAACCGTGTGCTGCGTGGACTACGTGTCAGTGTGGCTGCGCTGTCTTTTTCGGGTACTGTTTGAAAACAGGAGGCCTGGCGGTAGGGAGAGGCCCGGCCTGCTGGGAAGCGCAGGTGCAGGAGACCTTAGGAAAACAGGGCTGTGCACAGGGAGCTGCAGGAAAGGCCACGAGTCGCCGAGGCACCAAGAGAGGAGGCCGTGTGTGCTCTCCTGTCCCTGAGAAGTCCTCGGACCCCCACGTCTCGGGGTGCACACCCAGCAGGGGCCCCCTGGTGGCCTGGCACGTGCCAGGCACTATTCCAGGGGCTGGGATATGCAGTGAACATCAGAGAGATGATGTCACTGCCCTTCGGGGAGACAGACCCCAAACAAGGAACCACACGTGTGTTAGCCGCTGATGTGTCCTAAGAAGCAGAGGTCGGGGCTGGCGCTGTGGCGCAGCAGGTTAATGCCCTGGCCTGAAGCACCCCATATGGGCGCCACTTCAAGACCCGGCTGCTCCACTTCCGATCCAGCTCTCTACTGTGGCCTGGGATAGCAGTGGAAGATGGCCCAAGTCCCTGGACCCCTGCACCCACATGGGAGACCCGGAGGAAGCTCCTGGCTCCTGGCTCCTGGCTTCAGATGGGCGCAGCTCCAGCCGTTGCGGCCAGTTGGGGAGTGAACCAGTGGATGGAAGACCTCTCTCTCTCCGCCTCTCCTCTCTCTCCCTCTCTGTGTAACTCTGACTTTAAAATAAATAAATAAATCTTTTGAAAAAAAAAAAAGAAGAGCAGAGGTCGGGCTCAGGGGACACCTCGGGGAGAAGCTGCCGGTGGGGGGGTAGCCAGTCACAGGGACCCCCCTGAGGACGACAGGTGAGCAGACACCAGGGGGGGTCTTGGGAAGAGACTCCTGCAGCGAGAGCAGGTGCCAGCCGCCTAACAGCCTGCGAGGGCTGGGCTGGGATCAAGCCCAAGCTCACCTGACTCCACACTGGAGCCCCGTGCTAGACTCAAAGGGCAGGTGGTAGGACTGGCTGTGCATGGCCTGGTTACACGCCCCCCCCTCCAGCACGGCCGCGGTGGGGATCAGGACCACCCGTGGCAGCTCAGCCTCCTCGAGTGCTACCTGTTACTCACAGTAGGTGTTACCGTGCTACTGCTCCGAGAAGAGAGGCTCAGGCAGGCTAGTGAGCTCGCCCAGGGGAACCACGTGCTGGCTGCAGAGCCACCCCCCCACACACACATGCACTGCGCCAGCGCCCCTCACCGTCCCTCACTCCTGGCCCTGGAGCCAGGGTCGGGGCCAGTCGCTCTTCTGGTGTTTTGTAGTTACAGGGGAGTCTGCACCATCCACTTGAATTTGGAATTACACACTTAAACAGAAGCGTGTCCTGTAACGTGGTTTTGGAAGTCCAGTGTGCAATATTCCTAGTCTTTAAAAAAAAGCTCTTAAAACTCAATCAGAAAAAAAAAAAAAAAACTCACTTCAAAAGAGTGGGAGGAAGTCATAAGCAGAATATTTGTAAAAGAGCAAACACAAACGTGAAATAACAAGGAAACAACGGCCAATCTCCTCGGTTATCCCAAAATGAAAATCTAAAACGATGAGACCGATGAACGTGCCCAGGGTTGCTCGTACGCGGCTCGGCCGCTCTTTCGTACCTGGCGAGGCTGCAAATGGCTACCGCGAGGCGATCAGCAGTAGAGGGGCCAGGGCTTCCCCGGAGTCGCAGAGCCGCCAGCCCTGGAGCGCCACCCCAGCGCCGCCGCGGCTGGGGGATCCGAGACTCACACACAAACGCTGACGCGTAACTGCCCGGGCCCATCACGGACACAGACCCCGCATCGTCCGAACGACACCGAATGAAGCCCGCGAAGTGTCCCACCGAGCGTCGGGCGGGACCTCACCTGTCCTTTGGGAACACCGGCCTGTCGTCCAGGTACGTTAAGCGTTTCAGCCGGACGGTGACTGTCCTCCGGTAGTTGGGGATGCGCTTCACCACGGGGTTGCCCATCAAGTGTAGCACGCGCTGTGGGCCAACAAGCAGGAGCGAGTGGGCAGGCTGGAGCAAGCCGTGCGGTGGTGATGTCTGCGTGCGTGTGTGCACTGAGCATCATGGCGGCCCAGGGCCAGGAGCGGGGGGGAGGGCCGTGCAGGTGGCTGACCAGCCCCCACCCCCCCACCCCCCCCCGCCGCCCTGCAGAGCCCGGGTCCCACCGCCCTGCCGCAGCACCGCTGGGAGCCGTCTCCCAGGGCCCTCTCCGAGGGCTGTGACGGCGTCCGAGCTGCTGCCCAAGCTCTCTTCCTGAAAGGAGACCCTGTCCAGTTGATTGTTCCCTCCCCTTCCCAGCCCGGACCCAGGAGGAGGCAGACAGGAAGTGGCAAAGGGAGGGCCACTGCCTCGGGACCCAGGGCCTTGCTCCTTCAGGCTAAGAGAAGACCGGGGTGACCGGGCGTCAGCAACACCCACCAGCCACCCTCCTTCCTCACACACTGTCACTGCCCCCCACGCCTGAAAAGCCCACAGGAAGTGATGGTTGGGGTCCCTGCAGGCGAGCCGGCTGCCAAGAGGGAGGGATGCTTCTCACATCCCAGGAAGTGGCCTCCTCGCTGGGGCTGGGGGGTGCGCACATCCTACACCCGGTCAGGCCGGCGTTTCCCAAGCTTCACTCGCTCGCTATCTCTAACCCTGCCTTTCAAGTAAAATCATCTTTTATTTTTTGACAGGCAGAGTGGACAGTGAGAGAGAGAGAGACAGAGAGAAAGGTCTTCCTTTGCCGTTGGTTCACCCTCCAATGGCTGCTGCGGCCGGTGCACCACGCCGATCCGAAGCCAGGAGCCAGGTGCTTCCTCCTGGTCTCCCATGCGGGTGCAGGGCCCAAGCACTTGGGCCATCCTCCACTGCACTCCTGGGCCACAGCAGAGAGCTGGCCTGGAAGAGGGGCAACCGGGACAGAATCCGGCGCCCCGACCGGAACTAGAACCCAGTGTACCGGCGCCGCAGGCAGAGGATTAGCCTAGCGAGCCGCGGCGCCGGCCAAGTAAAATCATCTTTAAAGAAAAAATTCAAAAAATAAATGGGGGATGGGCTGACAGCTCTTTTGGGTTGCCACACTTCTTTTTAAGATTTATGTTTTATTATTCTTTTAAAGATTCATTTATGTATTCAAAAAGCAGAGTTACAGAGAGGCAGAGGCAGAGAGAGAGATTGTCTATCTACTGGTTCACTCCCCAAATGGCTGCAATGTTCAAAGCCGGGCTGATCCAAAGCCAGGAGCCAGGAGCTTCCTCCACGTCTTCCAGGTTGGGCACACAGGGGCCCAGGGACTTGGGCCATCCTCTACTACTTTCCCAGGCCACAGCAGAGAGCTTGATCGGCATTGGAGCAACCAGGACTTGAACCAGCGCCCATATAGGATGCTGGCACTGCAGGTGGTGGCTTTACCTGCTACGCCACAGCGCCGGCCCCTGCTCCACTTCTGATCTAGCTCCTTGCTAATGCATCTGGGATAGCAGTGGAAGATGGCCCAAGTCCTTGGGCCCCTGCACCCAGGTGGGAGACTTGGAAGAAGCTCCTGGCTCCTGGCTTTGGCCTGGCCCAGCTGTGGCTGCTGTGCCCATGTGGGGGAGTGAACCAATGGATGGATGATCTTTCTCTTTCTGTAACTCTTTCAAATAAATAAATCTTTAAAAAAATAAAATAAATGGGGGAAACTGAATGTGGACTGGGTATTAAATGCAGTCATTATGATATTCTAGACGTGGAAGTGGCGCTGTGATGTCGCTATAAAAAGTCCTTCTTCGTCAGAGACGCGCATACGCAGGCCAGGACGGAACGCGACTTCTGGCTGCCTCTGGCTAGCACACTCCGGGGGCCAGTGCGAAGCAAGCAAGGGGAGTAGTC